GGCTTAGGGTTTAGGGGTTAGGGGGTTTACGGGTTTAGGGTTTAGGGTTTAGTAGGGTAGAGGGCTGAACATCGAAGGCGCAATCAGTCGAAGTAGCCTGTTGTAGGGGTGTACTGCACTAGTCTCGACTTATTCTTGGAGAGAGTCAGGTGGATCGACACAAAGTGCTAGAAGCGGTAAGCGGCTGAAGACAGAGGGGCAAGGTCCCTCAAAAGCTAGGCAAAATGTACATCCACCCATGCGCATACTTTTGGCTTAGAGCTCAGTGTATCTGCATGGTGTTGGGAGAAGACTTATAAAGCCCTACATGCTTACAAAAGCAGCTGTCGAATTATCCTGCCAGGCGTCGCCGTGACCCACGAGTATCCGCATCTTGTTCCAGTCGGGATACAGTGAGAGTATCATTCCCACCTTGCCTGGGCGTATAGGGCCACGGTTTAGGGTTTAGGGTTTAGAGAGGCTCTAGGGTCAGCTTCTCGGACTCCATGTCCAGTTGAGCTTATGCGGACGCTGGCTGAGCACGTAAGTAAGTACATCTGCATGTTTAACTGTTTGTCTGCCCCTCTCTCTGTCTGCCTGTTTGTCTGTCGTTCTGCCTGTCTATCTCTCGGTCTGTCTTTCTGTCTCTTTATGTCTCTATCAAACCCCTGAACCCCTAAGCCCCCAACCCTAAACCCCTAAGCCCCGAAAATCCTAACCCCCAAAACCCTAAACCCTAACCCCTAAACCCCTAAACCCCTAAGCCCTAAACCCTAAACCCCTAAGCTCTAATAAGCCCTAAACCCCTAAACCCCTAAACCCCAAACCCAAAACCCCTAAACCCCTAAACCCTAAACCTTAAACTCGCCTCCTCACTCCCTTTCTTCCCGTCCACCCTTGGTTTGTCCGTTCCCTCGGACCCCGGCGACTGGAGGGTTTAGGGCTTAGCTCAACCTCAAAAACCTGCCCGTGAAAAGGAGCTTTCTTTCTAGCTGTTTGAAAGAAGGAACCCTCAATTTGTAGGGTTTTAGGGCTTAGGGTTTAGGGTTTAAGGGTTTTGGGGGGTAAGGATTTAGGAGTTAGGGCTTGGGGTTTACGATGATATGGGCCCATGGGTTCCAGGGCTTCGGGACCCCATACCCAGAAAGCCCGCGATTGAGGGGTGCTGAGCTCCCTAAACCCTAAACCCTAAACCCTCAGCCCTAAACCCTAAACCCTGAACCCTATAAACCCTACAAACCCTAAAAACCCTAAGCCCTAAACCCAAAACCCTATATATTGTTGGTAATCATTCCGATCCCTCTTGGGCCGCGGCAGTTCAGAGTTCGTTGTCCTATCTGCTCCTCGAGGTCCCACATCACGAAGTATCCTTGATCCGTTTAGAGTTTAGAGTTCAGGGTTTGGGTTTTAGGGGTTAGGGTTTAGGGTCTGGGGCTTAGGGTTTAAGGTTACGCTGAGGGTCAAGGTTCCCAAAACTTCTATCAGCATAGCTATTTTGGGGCTTCTATGATGGGCCGCTGGCGGGATCTATGTCTAGCACTGCTAGTCTGAACCCCAAGCTAAGACCAACCCCTCAGAATGGTAGTGTGGCAGAAATTAGACATTAGGCACCTTCGTGTAGCTAAAGTGAGACCCTCATTCGAAGGACCCTCGAGGTGTCATGAATAGGGCCGAACTCGAACGTGCTGACATGCGAAAGCTTCGTTAAGCATGCTTGTATGGCTTGTGGACCTGTGGGGTTGAAGAGGCGCATTGCATTGGCTTACAGAAGATGTCTTCAGCTGCATGTGCTTTATGAGGTGTGCTGTAGGTTCAACATTGCTAGCTCAAGGCATGCTTCATGCAAGCCCTCAAGCCGACACTCGACTAGATCCGACGAACTGAAATCCTAAACTCTAAACCCTAAAGCCTAAACCCTAAACCCTAAAGCCTCGAACCCCAAGCTTTCAAAGCCAAGACTATAGCTCTAGCTCAAGCAGAGATGCCGTCGTCGTTCCCGGTGATGGCGCGCTTGCCGGCCCAATCGCAGGCAAGCGTGCGGATGCTGCTTCGGGGATGTCCCTGCTTTTCAGTGATAGGGATCAGGGGGGTGGAGGGTAAGGGCAGGGGGTAACCCTGAACCCCGGACTGTAATGTAGCGGGATTGATACATTGAACTGGGTTTCGGGCAATATGATAAGGAGCACACATATGTTTATAGATATTCGGAAGAAGATTCTGAGTAAGTATGCTGACGGTCTCTGTTAGCTGCTCTCTTTGGGGTTTAGAGCTTGGGATAGAAGGGAAGGCCTCGTTACGCCTCACCTGACCATCTCAGGGGTTTAGCTGACACAACCCACATCCCACAGCCTGAATCCCTCGATTCATCAAGGCCCACAACCCTATCTTCCCCTCCGTCTCCACCGGACATAGTGCATAAGGCCCGTCTTTATGGCCTCATAGTTTAGGGTTTGGGCTTTTGCCCAAGTGCAAGTGCTTGACTCAGCACCAGAAGGAGTCCCTGCATGTGCCCACAGGATGCCTCCGGCGGGGGCATTTCGGTGCCTGCTCCCGTATGCAGGTTCCAGTAGAAGACAGCCCCATCCTAGCATGCATGGGGTGGTGAGGAGATAGACTCTGTGGGAAGCGCGCCAACAAAGACCTGGGCCACATAAATCTGCAGCTCGAAACCCCTGACAAGGCCTTCCAAGTGCTTCAAAGCCTTGTTGAAAACACGCAGGGTCTCAAAGGTGTGGCATGCAGCGTTGTTTTCAACAAGACAACCCCCCCCTAAACCAAAAAAAATAATATATATATATATATATTACAGGTCCTGCTGAAGACGGCCCTCTGTTCACAAGGGCACCCTAAACCCTGACCCAACCCCCTCCGAAAAGCTCTAGAAACCCTACACCCTGAATCCTAAAACCTCCACGCTGAACCCCAAACCCTAAAACCACAAAATCTCTAAACCTTAAGCCCCTCAATCCCAAACCCTGGGCCAACTGTAGAGCCCAGGCTCACCAGAGGTGCTGACGGCCTCATTTGTGGCCCAGTGGGCCTGCATGCAGCTGATGTAATCCTCCAGGGCTCGGAGAAGTTGGGGGATCTTCGGGTTTAGGATTTGGGGTTTAGGGTTTAGGATTTCGGGTTTAGGGTTTAGGGTTTAGGGTTTAGGGTTTAGGTTTTGGGGTTTAGGGTTTAGGGTTTAGGATTTGGGGTTTAAGCGTTTTCATAAGGCTTTCGGGGGGCTTCGCTTGAGTTCTATGGCAGTTTCTTGGAGGGTCAGGGGACGTGGTAACTACCCATAACCCCCTAAGTAGTTCCTTTTTATGGCTTATATTTAGAATCCTATAAGGTAATCCCAAAAAGGGGCCTATGGGTAGTTAATTTGAGACAGTTATAAGTATCATGGACCCAATATTAGGATCCCTATTAGGGTACTTAAACTAGTCTACTTCCCACCCACTAGCTAAGTCCTCCGAGCCCTCCAAGTGTGGAGTTGCAGGGATCCTGGGTCTTGATTGAAGCTTCAGGTGGGGCTGAGGCCTTCCCGGTGACCCTGCCTATACTCAACCCTAAACTATGGGAGGTATGGTATATTCCGTATTGTGGGTAGTGCAGGATT